AGATCGGCGACGAGCTCCTCATCAGCACCCTCTCCGGCGGCCTCAACGAGGACTTCGGGAACGCCGCCTCCAACCTCACCCTCATCCCGGAGCCCACCTTTGGCAAGGTGGTCGCGTACCTCAAGCTGGAGGAACGCCGGATGCGGGCGGCCAGGACGCGCGCCACCCACACCGCCCTCGTTGCCGGCACACGTGGGGGTTCGGCCCCGCCACCGTCTCGCCCGACGCCGCCCCCGCAGGCGGCGCCCGCCTTCCAGCCGGGCTTCCCGCCCGCCCCACCCACCCCCTTTCCGCCGCCCCAGCCGGCGGGCAATGGGGGAGGCCGTCGCGGCGACCGCCGGGGTGGCCGCAAGCAGGGAGGCGGCGGCGGCGGCGGCGGTGCTCAGGGAGGAGCGCCACGCCAGCAGCAGCCGGCTCCTCAGCCGGCGGCCCCGTGGTACGCCGGTCAGAACCCGTGGACCGGCGTCGTCCACGCCTATTCTATGCCGGTTCCACGGGCTCCTCCGGGTCTTCTCGGCACTCGGCCTCCGTCACACCAGGCGTATTACGCCGCGCCGCAGCCCTATGCGGCGCCCTACGGGCAGCAGCCGCCGCCAGGCGGGCCGCCGCTGCTGCCCCTGACGTCTGCGCCGTCTCTTCCGCCGGCGCCGTGGGACCCGGCTCTCCTGGCGGCTCTCCACACCGCCCCTTCCCCGTCCAGCTACACCGGCGACGGCGATTGGTACATGGACAGTGGCGCCACCGCTCATATGGCGGCGTACCCCGGTAACCTCCATACTGCCCACCCTGTCCACACCTCCAACCGCATCACCGTCGGTGACGGTTCTTCTCTTCCTATCACCCATATTGGACATACATATTTTCCGTCTAACTCCACCCCTATATCCATGTCTAATATTCTTGTCTCTCCTGATCTTATTAAAAATCTTGTTTCCGTCCGTTCTCTTACACGTGAAAATCCGGTGACCGTTGAATTTGACGCATGTGGTTTTTCTGTTAAGGACGCTCGCACGCGGATGGTGCTCCACCGATGTGACAGCCCCGACGAGCTCTACCCGGTTCACTCCGCCGCCTCCACCACTTCCGCCGCCCCTGTCGCTCTCGCCACCGGAGTGGATCTCTGGCACGCTCGCTTGGGTCATCCTAATCCTGCCACCCTTCGCCACATACTTCGGAGTTTTTCTTTCACGTGTAATAAGAACGAGGATCACTCATGTCATGCATGCCGTCTTGGCAAACATGCTCGTCTTCCGTTTAGGGCTTCTTCCGTTGTTGCATCGTACCCGTTTGAGTTGATTCATAGTGATGTTTGGACATCTCCTGTTGCAAGTAATACGGGCTTTCTGTATTACCTTGTCATCCTTGATGATTTTTCGCATTATGTGTGGACCTTCCCGTTGCGCCGCAAGTCGGACGTTATCTCCACTCTTGTCGGTTTCTACTCTTATGTCCGCACGCAGTTTGGCCGGCCCATTCTTGCGTTGCAGACAGACAACAGGAAGGAATTTGACAACACTGCTGTCCGCGATCTTCTCGCCACACATGGCACGATTTTTCGTCTCACTTGCCCGTACACCTCGCAGCAGAACGTTCGTGCTGAGCGCATCCTTCGCACTCTTAATGACTGCGTTCGGACTCTTCTCTTTCACGCCAATGTGCCTCCACGCTTCTGGCCTGACGCTCTAGCCACCGCTTCCCTCCTCATAAACATCCGTCCATGTCGTACTCGTGGGAACTTTACACCTCACCACCTTCTCTTCGGTGCACCCCCCTCTTATGAAGGGCTTCGCATTTTCGGCTGCCTGTGCTACCCTAGCATTGCTGCCACTGCGCCTCATAAGCTCGCACCCCGCTCCGTCGCCTGCATCTTTCTCGGCTACCCACCTAACACTAAGGGCTACCGCTGCTACGATCCAGTCTCTCATCGTGTTTTCACCTCCCGACACGTTTACTTTGATGAGATGGTCTTCCCGTTTCAGCAGCAGGCACCCCTCGTCGTCTCGTCACCGCCGGCCCATCGACGACCTCGTCAGGTGGACGAGCACGCCTGGTTCGTGGACCGCCTCCGGGCTTTGGCGGTCCACGGGCCCTACTGCCGGCGCCCTCCACGGCCGGCCCTGCCATTGTGGCCGGCGCCCCGCCTTCACCCGCCGCCCCCGACTCGGGCGCCGCGGGGTCGGGCGCCTCCTCCGCCGCCCCGACGCTGGCCGCC